TCCCTGTGGATATTCTTTACCAAAAGTAATTCTTAACTTTACATAGGACATTAAATCCTTAATCGTACAGAGTACACCCAATCAATTCAATTGTCGTCAGCATGTGTATCATGTTCAGTATCATCTCTTAACAAGCAGGTTCTGAGCAACCTCGCGGTTAATGCCACTTTTATTGCCCTGGGCCCGTTAATAGCAGGAGATTGTAGCTTGACACAATAGTTGGCATCTGGTTCTTTCTTCAGAGCCAAAAATCTGAAGTTAACTTTAATACTTTTTTCCAAAAATTTTTCTTTAAAACTTAGCCTATTTCTCAATTAAAGACAATTCCAAAATTTGCATTTTTAGAAAGAATTCTGCTTTAATGGGCTGATATTTTCCAATTCCTATTATGTAGGTTTTTCTTCCTCCTTCTCACTCCAAATTTGAATTTAAAAAAAAAAAATCCAACTTAAAACAATTATTAATGTAGCTTATTTCCAAGCGAGGCACTGAAAATGTCTACATGGGGTCTTCAAACCTCCATAAACATGTAGACTTGGTCTTGATTTTTTAATTAATTTTTGGTAAAATTACATGTGCTAGCATCCACATTGCAGGGAGAATGCTCTCTAGATTATAAAGAGCTGAAAGGAGCAGGCATGGGGCACACTGTTTATGTATCTCATTACTCCTTGCTCAGTTCACCTTCATGGGTCACAGCCATAATAAGAATTAAGCAATAAATGAAAGTTTGAGTTATACTCAGCAGCATATATGAGCTGGTAAATTTCATGCTAGTCACTGTGGGCATATGAACTCAACAAAATTTGGCATAAAGTGTGTTTAAGAGAAAAAAGAAATAAAGTTAAATTTTAACCAAAGCCATAAAAAAGCTCCAGCTGAAATAAAAATAAGCTACAAAAGTGACTTTAACATTTTTAAATACATGAAAACTAAGACCCCATTATGCTGAGCCCTAAACCTAAACGACTCATAGAACACGTTTTGTTTTCTTTTTGCCATAATACTATGAGCAACAGCTTAAAACACAGAGGTGGGATGATGGATGTCCTTAAAGGAGACAGGAAAGCAGGAGACACACAAAGACACATGTGAAGGGATTTCCCTGGGGGGGGTCCAGTGATTAAGACTCCGTGCTTGCACTGCAGGGGGCATGCAGGTTCAATCCCTGATTGGGGAACTAGCATCTTGCATGCTGTGTGTGTGGAAAAAAAAAAAAAAGAAAAAAGAAACGTGAAGAAGAGACAGAGATTGGACTGATGCAGCCACAAGCCAAAAAACACCAAGGACATTCATCATTGGATTTAAGGTCCACCTTAATTCATGATGATTTCACTTTATCTTTATTACATCTGCAAAGACTCTTATTCCAAATAAGGTCATATTCTGAGGTTCTGGGTGCGGGCCCAGCCGCTCCGCGGCATGTGGGATCTTCCCGGACCGGGGCACGAACCCATGTCCCCTGCATCGGCAGGCGGACTCTCAACCACTGAGCCACCAGGGAAGCCCTGGGTGGACATATCTTTTGAGGGGGCACCATTCAACTCACTACAAGGCGGATTAAAACCTCCAATACCACAAGTAAAGAAATGGTTTCTTTATTTAAAAAAAAAAAATTCCTTCAATATACTCCAAGAAGACAGTCCAGTGTGAAAATTAATAAAAGGGAACTTTACTGTATTAGAGTCGAGAGGCCACAAGGGGGAGCGCCACACATGTACCACTGAGTCAATACGAATCTTAGTAGGAAGAGACACATATTTTGCATCTCTGGCTGGAAATGACCCTACTTTACCACTGCCGCATGAGGAAGAAAGATTTTTCTCCTTGATTGGCAACAGCACATCCAATGTGAAGTTGTCACAACTCAGACAATGAAAAGCCACCATACTTCAGTGGACTTTTTGTTTGTAACATCCCCTCCCAACTTTCCCTTCTCCTCTCTAAAACAGTTTCTTCTCCTTTGCTTTATGGGACTTGCAGGTGGTTCGCCATGATTGCATGTCCCAAATTGCAGCTCTTTGCTGCTCCCAAATAACCCATTTTGCAGGTAAAATATCTGGCTGTTTTACTGTTTTAAGGTAACACCAGTCAAGGAGAGAGCACCTGAGCCACTAGATGGGCTCACCTGGAGGACACTGTCACCCACTACTCCATCATTCTCCTCTTCCCTCTCTTCTCCACCTTCAGTCCATCTTTTCATGACTATCTTTTTCACCGTTTTTGTTCTATACTTATTTCTCCCCGTATCTTAGATTCCCTCTTCCCCAAATCTCTATGATCCTAATAGCCCAAAATAGGGGCCTGATATTTCTGGTGGTTTGTATGCTGTTTATTCTGGAAGAGTGTTTGCTTCTTATTCTCAGATTCCTCCATCCTCTATTTGAGGTCATTCATGAATGAAGAGCCACAGTCTTCAGCACACGTATTGCTGTATGAATAGTGAAGTCCCTTCATATACCCTTTCTATTATCTGAGGAGGAAGGAATTGGGGGGCTAGAATGGAGGGGGAAGGCTCAGTGTAATCCCTCCCCAGGTTAAACTCTATGAATCAGCTAGGGGTTGTGAATATTTCCATTATTCATATGGGAGTGAGGAACCTAAATTCTGAGTGGAACAATCCAGTCATCCAAGCAGAATCTCCGATTTTTACTGTGCATTTTCTCCTTGGTCCAAGTCACCAAGGAGAAAATGGCTTAGGTCAGGATCCTAACCATTAATTAAGACAAAAGTGGGTATGAGCTGGATAGGTATTTCTTCATCTAGAAAAGACAAGCCAGTCAGTAACCTCCACTAATTTGCTAAACAAGGTCCCAAAAGAATGAGGATTCCAGTATGCATGTAACACCAAACCCCTTACCTCCCACCAAACCTTCTCCTTCTTCCATCTTTCACTTGTCAGTCAACGGCAACGCTATTCTTCTACTTGTGAAGGCCAAAACCCTTGAGTCTTCCCTGCCTCCTTTCTCTCACGTTCTACATCCAATCTATGAGCAAGCCCTATTGTGTCTCTACCTTCAAAGTATATCCAGGATCCTACTACTTCTCTCTGCCTCCATTATTTGCACCTTGGTCCAAGTCACCATCATATCTGGTCTGAACCACTATAATAGCCTCCTGTCTGGCTCTTTGATTCACCTCAGAGGGCACTTATAAAGGCTTCATCAGACTGCATTCCTCCTCTACTAGAGCCCCAAGCACACACAGAGGCTGGCCACATACCTGGCACATGATTTATCACTTCTCCAACTTCATTATTTTGACTCTCCTTGTTCACTCATCTCCAGCCATGCTGTTCCTCCAAAGTGCTGGGCTTGCTCCCACCTCAGGGCCTTTGAACATGCCGTTCTCCCTGTTTCAAGTATTTTCCTCCTTGAATTCTGCATGGCTTATTCTTCATATCTTTTGGCTTTTCCCTCAAATATAATTTTTTCAGGGAGAACTTCCATGACCACACTATTTAAACATTCCCCTTCCCTGATTTTTTTTCTCCATAGAACTTTCTGCTTTGCATACCATATATTTCACTTGTTTGTTTATTGTCTGTTTCTCTCACTGGAATGTAAGCAGTGACTGTCACAGAGTGGGCATTCAGTAGATGGCTGTTGAATGAATGAATGAATGGGATGTAGGTTATGGGGAACAAAGGAAGGTAGGAAACACTGCATTTATGTTACCTAAAATAGCACACCACCCTCCCAGAGCTCATCTTCTACCCCCTTAGCTTGCTTCATTTTTCTTCACAGCACCTATCACTTTTGATACTATTTGTTTCTTGAGTGCCTCCTCTATTACAAAGTGAGTCCCATGAGAACAAGAACTTTTTGTTCTCCGCTGTATCTGGTCTGCCTGGCAACAATACATATTTGTGGAAAAAACAATGACAAACTTGAGTGTGCCCTTGGCTCCAGAATCTCACAAATGGGCATGGTAACTTATTTTTCTGACCCAGGTGGTTTACACTTTACAGTGACCAAAACCCTTATGAGAAGTGCCAGGGTGGAGAAGAAAATACAAAACCTTCACTACTTGCCCCTCTTCTTGAATGTTTAGCACAGTTTGGTCCCAGGGATTTTTGTGTTTAGAAAAACCCTTGGAGGCCAAGGCACCCTTTTCTGTAAAGTCACTTCCTATATACTTTATGCAGCAGAGCCTCAAAGTGTGTGTATGGAGAGGCGACAGCAGTGGTCCAGGCTGGAAGGGGGATTCCCCCGCCCCGATTTCTCCGCCCCCCCGCCCCCCACCGCGCGGCGCGCAAGGTACCTTGTCTGCAGACAATTTTAGTTGTTGTAACTCGTGGAGCAGGGGTGTGGTGTGCTACTGGCACCCGGTGGGTAGAGGCGAGGGATGCTCAAAATCCTAAAATCACGGCTGCCAGATTTAGCAAATAAAAATACCTGTCGGTAGGGTCGCCAGATGAAATACATAACTCCAAGATTAATTTTAGAGTATATTTTTATCTGAAATTCACATTTAACTTGGCGCCCTATATTTTATCAGGTGATCCTACCTGCAATACATGGGACAGGGCCCCACAACAAAGAATTATCCAGACCAAAAGTCCAGGGTGTGAGGTTGGTCCAGTAACGCAGATTGTTGGGCCTGGCCTCGGAGTTTCTGATTCGGTAGGTCTGGGGTGGGGCCCCAGGATTTGCATTTCTATCAAGTTCCCAAGTGAAGCTGCCATTGGTCTGGAACTACACTGGAGAACCACCGACCTAGAAAGAAAAAAAGACTTCGTGCCCTCCTGAGTAATAGCGAGGAAAGTGCCTAGGCTAGCATGTAAGGAGACAGGACGAGAAGGGGCTGCAATAGGGGAAGAAGATATTTCTGCCGTCTTGGGCCCGGCCTCAGAGGCACTTCTGCGTCCCCTCTAGGCGCCGCGGAGGCCCCAATGTCTCGATGGTCGCTCGAATCGGGGGCGTGTCCTGGGCAGGGGCGTGTCCTGGGCGGAGAGCAGAAGGCGGGCCGAGGGGAACCGAGCGCTCTCGTGCCGGACGTTGCGCGGCCGCGACGCCCGACGCCGGCGGGGCAGCGGCGCTCTGGGTCCTGCGCTACCGGTGGTATCTAGCGCGAACCCACGAGGCTCCGGTCCGTTCGGCGCAGGTAGGCGTCGTCCCGCTTGCACCGCCTACTGGGCCCCTCTTGGTTGTGGGAGCGGCGCGCCCTGGCGTTGCGTTTTCTCAACGGTGCCCGAGGCGTTGGCCTTCGCTGCCGCGGGCGGACTACGGGTAGGTGGGACCGGGACAGGGACAATGGACCTCCGGTCGAGGAACTCAGAGGGCCGCACGGGGGCGCTCTCGCTGCGGGACGGGGAGGCTGGGCTGGGACCGGGGAGGACTCCGCTGGGGCGGAGCGGGCTTGGGGGCGAGAGACTTTGGGCGAGGCCGGGCTGTGGGCGGGACCGGGGCCTGCTAAACGCAGGATGTACTAAGGGAGGAGTGGCTGGGACCCTTGGTAGGAATCGGGGGCGGGCCCGGGCTGGAGGCCGGACGGACTGTGGGCGGAGCTGGGGCTGGGTCAGGCTGACGCGGGACAGATTGGGGCGGCGTGGGCGGACATCTGTGGGCGGGGTGGGTGGGGTGCGGCTCCCACGCCACGCCCCTTAGGGGGAGGGGCTACTCCGTGCGGGGCGCGCTGGGTGCAGGGCATTTCTGGCATTCATAGTTTCTGCCTGCTTCTGGGATCGCCGACATTGCATAGGGTCTTTGTTTTCCCCTTTTCCCCCCTTTTTGTTTGGTATTGAGATGGGTAGGAGAAGAAGGAGGAGGACTCCGTTTCACAAAGGCCATTCCTGAGCTGTGGTACACCTGGCTTAGTAGCTTTGAGGCATTTACGTTTATAAAATGTCTTATTCAAAAAAATTTTCTTTGAAGTAACTTAAGAATTTGAAAAAAGTTTTAAAACTAGTACAAAGAATTCCCACATTCTAATCACCTAGGTTCCCCAAATGTTAACATCTTATTTAACAGAACAGTTAGCAAAACCAGGACACCTAACATCTACAGGCCTTATTCAGATTTTTTTTGCTCTTCTTGTCCATTTCCTTTTTGTGGTATAGGATCCAAGTCAGTATTTAGATGCATTTACTTGTCGTGTCTCATTGGAAAAATTTATATTTTAAACAGTAGAAGCCCCCTTACCCCCAAGATCCTTCAGAGTGGCCCTTGGGACCACCAGATCTCAAATCAAAGAGGCTTTCTTCTTGGATAACAGGGCCAGTTGAGAACGTCCAGCTGAGCCTTCCGGCATCTTTGGCATAGGTGGTCACCTCTGTCCCTTGACCCATCTGGCCCTTGGCTGCTCAGCCTCTCCTAGTTCTCCTCCTACCTCTCAAGTCAACCTCCTCCCTCAGATCTCTGTAGATGCCTTCCTTGGCCAGCTTCTCTTTCAGTGTGGGCTTCCTCCCTTGCATGATCTCTTGTGGCTTCAAGGATTCTTGTGGCTTTGAGCATTCCATAAATCCTCAGAAAACTCACTTGTTTATCACTTCAGCCCAGGCCATTTCTCGGTCTCAGACCCACAGGGATTGTGGCCTATCGCTACTTTTCTGGGTTATCTCAAAAGCATTTCCAGGGGCTTCCCTACTGGCGCAGTGGTTGAGAGTCCGCCTGCTGATGCAGGGGACACGGGTTCGTGCCCCGGTCCGGGAAGATCCCACATACCGCCGAGCGGCTGGGCCCGTGAGCCATGGCTGCTGAGCCTTCGCGTCCAGAGCCTGTGCTCCGCAACAGGAGAGGCCACAACAGTGAGAGGCCCGCGTACTGCAAAAAAAAAAAAAAAAGCATTTCCATCCCAATATGCGCAAAACACAGCTCCAAGTCACCCACTTCTAGTCCACTGTATTAATTGGGTCTCCACTGATAGACATTTCCTATGCAGAGTTTCAGAGAATCTTAGAGAATGCATTTTGGTTAGGGGCAATCAAATATTAAGGGTTCCTAGTACTTTTTTAAATAGCTGTCTTAAAGCCAGAAAGTGAAGATGAAGATGAAGGCCTGCTACAGGATGAGGAGGATGCCCTGCAGTATGGCCGTTTTCTTAGCAGCACAAGTTGTTCAGTTCAGCAAGTATTTATTGGGTGCCTGTTGCATGCTAGGAGCTGTGTTGGCTTCTGGGGATACAGAGATGAATAAATTCTGCACCCGCCCTGCCATCAGAGGGCATGTGGTGGGGCCATGTGTTGTAATTGAGGTGAAATCTGTGATAGAGGAAGCCTCAACTTGGAGAAGGAGGTTGCAGGACGTGAGTTGGCCCTGAGCCTAGGTGGGAGAAGGCTGGGGACCCAGCTGTTAGGGGCCTTGACCTGTTTCCAGGGCTCGTGGGATTGTGACCTCGGGAAGTTCTCCCTAGGCTATGAGGATGGGCTGGCGTGGGAATGACTGGTTGGGGGCTGTCACTGAATGTTGGTGAGTGGATAAGGGTCAGCCTGGGGTACAGCAGAGGAAAAGGTGATGAGATGAGCTGCTGAGAGTGGTGTGACTGTGAAATGGTAACACAGGTCATACTCTCTGACCCAAACCCAACCAGACATGGGGAAAAGTCAGAATGTTTGAATTTTATCAAAGTCACACTGAAGCACTCCTTAATCAAACATAGGATTTCTGTAGCAATATCTATCAATATCTATAGTAAGTAATAGAAATGGGTATTATAAAGAGCCTCAGATATTTTCAGGTTTTGCTGCCAGGCAGTTTGTTGCCCAAATTTTGAAATAATGTTCAGTTTTCACAACATTTTTGACTTTTGAGAATTGTAGGTGAAGGGTTGTGGATCTGAAAAGATAGCTACCACTTGTAGAGCCAGGCCTGTTGTGTGTGCTTCACAGGCATTGACTCTCATCCTCAACCCTACAAGGGTTGATACCATGCAGATCCCATTTTGTGGGTGAGGAGATGAGGGCATAGAGAAGGTAAGTGATTTGCCCACAGTCACACAGCTCACCCCTGTTGGCTCCATAGTCCACATTCTTACCAGACTGCGTACGTGTGAATGGGAGGTTGGGGAGTTGCAGGACCAAAGTCTTTCTCCCATACCTCAGACACCTGGCATCTGCAACCAGCCTGTGTGAGTGCCAAGGAGGGTCAGAAGAGAAGGGAGGCAGGAGCCCTGTAGAGGTTGTGGTTACATACACAGATTCATTGAATGCCTGTGGGGACTCACTTCCTTGGTGCCTGGAGCTTGTGGTCTGGTTGGGCAGTGAGCTCTTCTCACAAGCTGTAGAGGAAGTTAAGTGCACTGTCAAGTGGACCAGAGGAGGACATGGGTGATCAGAGGCACTGGGTTGACAAGCTGGGATGCAGACTAGCTGGGCTTTGAGAAAATTTAGGTAAATGATTTTATGAGGATTCTATAAGGAGATTCTTCATGAGAGACACAGACGGTTGAGTGCGGAGATGACTGTATTCTAATTTTCTTCCTCTAACTGCAAAAGATATATGTGCTCTGGAGCACCAGAGATGAATGCCTTCTGCCTGCCACTTCCATGTCACTGCAGACAGTGGTCTTCTCAAAGGACATTGAATGGGTCAATTTGATCATATTTGCTCAGGTGTGTGGGAATGTCCCTGTGCCTTTGTGAGTGCATGTATAACTGTGCAAAATATGCATCAAAAACATATAAGATGCATAGGAACAGTTTAAAGAGTCATGAAAGAACTTTGAACACTCCACTCAGTTTAAGAAATAGAACCTTGTCAAAATCTTAGCAATTCCCTGTATGTCTGCCCCAATTGCATCTTTTCTCTTCAGAGGTAACTACTATTCTGAAGTTCCTCTTAATCATTTCCTTGCTTTTCTTTATAGTTTCACAATGTGTATGTGTCTCCAGATAATATTTTAGTTTTTTTTAACTTTTTGATCCTTATAAAATGAAACCATGTAGCAAGTTTTCTTTTTTTTTTGCTTATTGTCTTTTATTTGAGATCCATTCAGTCGTGTGTGTGGCTAAAGTTCTTCACTCACTTTTTCTGTGGTATTGCACTGCATCCATTCTGTTGATGGCCGTTTGGTCTGTCTCTAGTTTTTGTTACTCTAAATAAACAGTGCTGCAGTGGACATTCTTGTCCTGGTCTCCTGGTGCACAGATGAAGTAGTTCTCAAACAGGGGTGAGGGAGGTGAGGTGAGATAGGGGTAAGGGAAGAAAGGGAAACACTTTTGGTTGTTATAACTGGGAGGTGGTGTGCTCCTTGTCTCTAGTGGGTAGAGGCCAGGCACACTGCTAAACATACTACAATGCACAGGACAGCCTTCCCATCTCCTCCTCTCCCACGCACCAAAGAATTGTCCGACTCCTAATGCGAGTGTCGAGGCTGAGAACCCCTGCTCTAGGGTAAATACCTGGGGTGGACTGCTGGGTGCGTGGGTTTGTGCATCTTCAACTTTAGTAGATACTAGCATACTGTTTACACTCCTTTCAGCAGTATGTGGCCTCTTGCATTACTCATTGTCCTTCTCAACACTTGATAATCTCTGCCTTTAAAATTTTTGCCAACTTGCTGTCTGTGAAATGATATCTGATTGTGGTTTTAATTTCATTTCCTGAACAGTAATGAGATTGAGCATCTTTTCATGTCTGTCTTCTTTTTGTATTTCCTTTGAGAAGTGCCTCCTGATACCATTTTGCCCATTTTCCTGTTGTGATATTTGTGTTTTTCTTAATTGTGTCTGGGATCTCTTTATATATCATAGATTATTCTTACCTCCTAGATGCTAATCCCTTATATTTGTTGCAGATAACTTCTCCCATTTTTGAGTTTATTCTGATGGGCTGAAAAGTTCTTAATTTAAATGTAGTAGAATTTATCAATCATTTTCTTTATGGTTAAATGCTTTTTGCTGGTTGGTTGGTTTCCTGCCAGATCCCCAGGTGGGCAGGACTTATTCTAGGACCACGCTGGAGCAGTGCTGAAACCAAGTCTCAATGCCACTTCAGGACCCACAGCTGGCACTAAAGTTGGCAGGCCTGCTGCCAGGGGCACAGATGGGTGTTACTGGATCCCTGGGTGAGCAGGACTGGGAGCAGGGCTAGAGCCAGGTCACAGGGCTGCTTCAGAATCTGTAGTCTGGTCCAAGGATGGTAGGCCTGTTACTAGGGGTACGGATGCATGATTCCTCCTGGGTCCCTTGTCAGATGGTTACAGGACCGTGACCAGGCAGGTCTGGAGCTGTCTGTAGGGAGTTGGGGCTGCTTTCAGTTTGCTGGCAGAACCATGTGAGCTTGCCACCAGG